TTGGAACTGCTAGATAATGCGTTTATCTCATGGAAACATAAATACCACGTTTAATCCTGAAGCTCTGCCCATATTGGTGTATTTTGGCTGTCTGCTCCTTCAGGCTCTTGGGATTTTGTGTGTTCTGAACATTCCCAGCAGAAACTGGAACTGCTGTAAATAGGCCAGCCTGCTCCAGGTGACACAGCATGGAAACACTGAGCAGTTCTTGTTCTTGCTGCCAGGCTTCCTTAAAACATTTTTCCTGTAATATTTCAGCTCAAAATTGATATTTGATTCTGTTCCTGATCTGCTCTTCACCAACTCAAGACCAGCTGTCCCCTGTCTCGCCAGCATGAGATTCAACCCTGAGAGAATCCTCATTTTCCAAAACAGCAAAATTGTGTTTTGATACAATAATCTGAGTATTACAGTGCCTTGCCAAGGTAAAAACTGGGAATTCTGGTCAAGTTGAGATGTGTTGCTGCTTTAGTAGCAATTAGGAGTCCTTACCACAATTAAATATTTAATTAGGTGTTCATAAAGCAGAGGACACAGAAGGGGGGGACAGCATTCAGCCCCGAGCAGTAATGAGCACTAATGACTGTGGCTGCAGTGCCTCAGGGATTCTGATGTTGTTGTACATTTATTTCCTAAGAATAATTCATGAGATTCTGGAGTGTTGGTCAGCGTTGCTGAGTACCTCTGCACACAACATCTAATTGTTAATTATCGTTGAACTTCTCCAGGAACATCAGCCACAGGCAGGAGATATTTACTGGTGAGTAGAAAAAGGAATAAACCTCATCTCTGCAAAGCTGTGCCCCTCAGCTTGAATATTTAATAAAGAAAAACTTCTTATCACTGGAGAAAAAAAGAATAATACTGTCCTGTGGCAATCCAGGGGTAAAAACCTGGAGTTTCTTTACCAAGACCTCGTCCACAGTGAAGATTTTTTTGTTGTTGTTGCTTATAAACCCTTTTCTGGGAGCTGAACTCATCACTAGTGTCTTTTAGTTTCAATTCTCCATTGAGGTGTTGGGAATTTTTTTTGTGTGCATGTAAAGACATTCTGAACCTGCTACCTTAGGAAAATGAGGATGGTTTAATCTGTGTTTGCTCCCAGTGCCCTCACAGGGGCTGCAGCCACAAGCCCATCTGCACTGCTCATCTGCCTTGACAACCACATTCAGTGAATCAGAGGAGTTGTACTCTCCAGATTTTGCATTTAGAGTTTATATAAAACATCCTCTTTGTGCAAAAGGTGTTTTCTTCAATCCCTCAGTGGTGTTTTTTGACTTTCCTTGCAATTCATGCTTCAACAACCTCCCATTCATAGAGTGCTTCATCGCTGGGGCTGTCCCAGGAGATCCCAGAGCACAGACCGAGGTTTAAACAACAATAAACATCCTAAAAATCCCAGTTCTGGCATTTCATGAGGAACAGATGAACAGCAGAGCACTGCAGCAAAGAGCTGCTCAGTTTGCATTTGACAGAAGGCATCGTGGTGAAAATCCACCCTGCAGACTGGCTGAGGAGCTGAACAAGTGCCACAGTGCCCAAAGTCACCCCTGAATGATAAATGTTACATAAAAGCATGGAGGGGTCTCCTTTGAGACTGAAAAGGAACCATTTTCCTACACACCCTAAAGAATATTGAATAATTAATTGGGCTGCTGCATTGTCCTGTGTGTGAAAGAATTTGGAGGGAGCAATTCCCCCAAATTCCAAGAAGCAGGATGCTCCATGCTCTCATCAAATAAATCCCCATTTTCTGTCTGCACCAAGGAAGGATCAGTGGGGCACTGAAGTGACCACGAAAGTGCCACTGACAGGGGAGATAACTCTATGTGACAACTCTGCTCCCAAACCACCCCAAAAATCTGCATTTTAGGAAGGTGCCAGTCGAGGTGAGCTTGGAGAACAACCCCAGAGCTCTCAGCAAAGTGCTGAGAGGAAACCCAGCTCAGCCACCAAGTGATTTACTACCCAAACAAACCTTGCCACGAGCTCCAGGGAGGGGAAGGAGCATTTCACTTGTTGGGAGGAGAGCCTAAATACTGGATTTATCTGATTCAAGACTCCCAAGCTTTTATTGGGCTATTTGTACCTAATTTGTTTTATGGGAGCAGTCCCAGGCCGAGTTGAATTTCCCAGTGTTTTTATTCAGCTCTGAGGAGAATTCCTTCTCCCTTGGCAGCCTCCTCTCCCTCTGGGCACCAGCAGCACCATTAACTGCTGCAGTCTGGAACTGCAGAATTGGGCAGAAATGACAATTTTCCCTTTTTTCCTGCCTCTGAATGATACTCTGAGCATCCTCTCTACACTGAGGCCAGAGCTGTTCTTCCTTCTCATTCAGCTTCACAAGCAAGAGATCATTTTCACATTCCTGCACTTCATGTCTGATTTTTCCAGAAAAGAATGAGCAAAAAATACATGTTTTAACAGCACCCTGGTGAGTTACAGAATATTCACGGGGCAATCCATATTTTATCTGTCTTCTCCACCAAAATAGGCAAATTTTTCAGAGATTTGGCACATGAGGGTTGCTGGCTTCACCACAAAATCCACTTTGACCTGGAAACACCAGAATTCCTGCCTGGAATCCATCTGATTTACCAGTTACACAAAAGCAGTCTTCTTCTTTTCACTCTCCTGAAGCCTTTGGATCCACGTGAAAAATCTTTCCCTCTCTCAGGATAATTTTAGCTTTGCTCAAACTTCCTTATTTCAGTGAAAGAGGGAGCACCCTTTAAGGCTCTGATTTCAGTGTGGTGATTATTAAAAATCTTGTGTTTTCTGAAGGGGCAAACTGGTTTCTGGAATCCTCTTTCCTCAGCAGGGAGAGCAGATCTCTGAAATATATAATCCAGCTCTGTTCCAAGTAAAGCTTTCACTCAGATGAAAACATGTTCAGGGCATTTAACTTGATTAGGGGAAATTTACTATTCCAATTCCTTTTTTGTCACCATCCTCCCATTAAAATTTATGAGGGCTGATTAGTACATGATTTTTTTTTCTGTGTTTTTTTTAATCAAAGAGCATCTTTAAAAAAGGAAATGAGGACTCAGCTCTGGCAGCTGCACTTCCTTGCAAGCACAGTTTAAAGCAAAGGTTTTTATATCAATTTCATGTCCAGTTTTGGGGGAGGTAGAAGCTTTACATTTTGATTAATGAAAATTACTACATGTTCACAAATCAGCAAATTGGTTTGCAGGGAAACATTCTGAGGTTTCAGCTTTCAGAATCTCCAAATTACTGCACCAGGTCCCCCTGGGGGCTGTCCCCTCTCCTGGCATTAATTCCTGCCAATGCCCCATCCCTCCTGTACAGCCAAAATCAGTTCTCAAATCAGAAACAAAGCACCAAGGCAGGCAAAAATAACCTGGTTTCATCCATCCTTTTTTTTTTTTTTTTTTTTTCTTTTAAAGCATAAATGAAATTAGCACCATTGTGCCTGAGGAACACTCCTTGATGTCAGATAAGCATTCACTGCAGGCCTTACCAAGTGGGTTTTAAGACCATTCAATTACAGTGCATGACTTTATTCAATTAGAGGGTGAAAAAAAAGGTTGAGAGGATGCCTGGGAACATTCCAGCACAATTTCCATCTTAATAATTTGCAGCACTGCAGATTGTCAGGTCACTTTCTGCAGTGTCTGGAAGGCAGAACAATAAAACCACCCCAGGGTCTCCTCGCTGGGTTTGTAAAAAGGAGACTCCAAGAGAGGGTCCAAGATGAATCTTAGAGATGCAATATTCAACATTTATTCACTGGACTGCATGGAGAACATTGCAGTTATAATGAATTTGATGATGCTGCCTCCCAATTTCTTAATGCATCTGTGTCATTGGATCAGAATTTAATTCACCTTTCACTTCAGTTTGATTTATTGTTCTCTTTGGCCCAGTTTCTTTAATAAACAAGAATGTTAGCAAAGGACTTCCTGAAAACAGGGAATTGGGATTTAATGTAGGAGCCTCCAGTTTAGGGCACCTGGTGTGGATAGACAGAATGTAAGAGAATAAAGATAGTGTGAAGGTAAGGAGTTACAGCTGTGCTAATTATCAAGAATTAGGAACAGAGCTGCCTTTAATAAGCCACAACTGGATCCAATTAGAATAGGTATAGTAAAAGAGTAAGTTGGCTGGTCCAGAAGGTTGGATGGAGTTTGCTGGCTGTGCTGAGAAGGAGTCAGTGCTGTGAAGAGCTGTCCATGAGCAATCACCAAGAAGGTACAAAACCCCTGCAACAAGATGGCAACAACCTGAGCCACCTGCAGTCAGGGCTAAAGAACATTTATTACCTTGGGCATTTTCTTCTGTAGATAAAGGATGGAATTGCTTCAGTGCTACCACTAGGTTACAGATCTGAGTTGCTATCAGTTATAATTATAACTGATAGCAACCAGCATTACATAACCATTAAAAATCAGGAATACAGGTACTTTGTCTTTTTTTTTTCCACAATCAGGTACCTCTTCCTTGGTCCTTAAGAAAGGGGGAAAAAAAACAGATTAGTGCAGATTAGTGGGTTTAAAACCCTTTACAGAAACTTCACATATTTACATTTTATACTTTTATTCCAGGTATAAATTTTGCCGAAATGAAATCAAAGGATGGATTTTCCCTTCTGTCTCCAGTGAGCCAACAAGATTCCACCCTTGTCCTCACTGTCCAGAACTGAAGAGTTTTTACCTTTAAGAAAAGAATCTGTAAAAAAGACAATACAGTAAGAAAAGAACTTTTAATAATCTAAGGCTAAAATGGTAAGAAAATTTATGTAAAATTCAGAGCATTCACTGAGCCTGAAGAAGTCTCTTTTCCCCTCCCTTCTCCAAAGTCAGATCTGTTGTCTCCCCTCCAGCACCCCTCAAAACCAGCAGGTATGGAAACATCTTAGAGCAGAAGACATTGGAGGGGATTTTTTAGGACATTAAAAAATATTGGGAGCCAATCAAAACACTTCATTGTGCCAACACATACAAAAAGCAGAGGAGAAAGGCAGCACCAGTGGCTCAGTCTTTGGACTCCTGCTCACTGGAAGAGGCTGCTGTGGTGCAGAACATCATGGGCAGACTCAAAGGTCAGCACTTCCTTGTGGAACTTGCTGAGCTGCGTCTTGATTTTCTTCAGGGCGGGAGTTGACGCCTTCTTCTTGTAGCTCATGGCTTTCAAAAGTTTATCAGCCAGGTAGTGCAGCCAGAGGACGTTGCTGTGGGGGTGGTAGTCAGTCCAGCTGTTGGAGTTCTCCTCTTTCATCTGCCTGTAGATGTCAAACTGGTGGTCCCCAGTGCCTTGGAAGAGCTCCAGGTCCGTGGAGAGGTCGCAGAAGACGGTGAGCCCGTCCTTCTCCAGGCGGGACAGCGTGTAGTCGATGATGTTGACGTGGATGCCAGCCGTGGGGATGGAGTGCGTTTCTCCGTTCAGCACGTAGTGCAGCTCTCTCAGCTCTGTGCTTTTGACCAGCACGTTCCCCCAGTGCAGGTCCCTGTGCTCGAAGTGCAGCTCCTGCTCTGCCACGGCCAGGGACGCGGTCACCTGGTGCAGGATGCTCCTGGCTGATGTCACCGAGGAGAAGCTGCTCCTCATGCGCTCCAGGTCCTGGCCTCCAAACTCAAACTCCAGCACCATGAAGAGCTGCTGAGCCCCAAAAAAGTCTGGCCGGTCGTTTTCTGAGCCTGTTTCTTTGTGGAATTTGTCCCAGGCTTCCAGGAGATACCTGGGATAGGCCCCCTGGACACAGTGCACAGAGTAGAGGCTGATGAACCCCACAGTTCTGTTCACAGAGCCCTCAGACAGAAGACTGAGCTCTTTTGAGATTATTACCTCAGGCAGAATCTCCCCAAAGCTCTTCTGAGCTTCACCATTTACTTTTTCAGTCCCCTCAATGGGAATTATTTTTAAGGCCACAGGTCCTCTCTCGCTGTCAATCTGGAACACCTCTCCAAACACCCCTTCTCCAATTTTCTTGCAATATTTCATCTTATTTAAAGGAATGCATTCCTCAAAAGCAATAGGCCCCTCCTGGTTGCATTCTCCAAACACTTTCTCAGCATCTGTAAGGAGCAGCTCCAGGACAGAGGAGGAATCCCTGGGAGCCAGCAGGACCATGGAGGAAGCAAGCCAGGAGCAGCCCTGAGCTTTCCCAGCAGACAGGCTGGCTTGGTACCCCGAAAGCTGGGATTTCCCTGAAGGGGTGCAGAGGATGCTGCTGCAGAAACTCTCATCTGTGGTCACTTTCTTCTTTTTATGGAAGGACAGGGATGCTCGAACTCTAGCCCAGGAATAAGAGTTATTGAGGAGTGAAGAGTCATTGTTTCTGACACCTACAGACATGTCCAGAGCTCCCTTCCGAGCTCGTTTTTGCCTCGTCTGGAGTCTGAAAAGGGAGTTATTGGGCTGCTGCTGCCTCTTGTTCTTGCACCTTCTTGGCCTGAGCTGGGTGTGCCTGCCCCAGCGGCTGGCACTGAAGCCACTGATACAAGCTTTCCTGCAGGTACTGCCCTCCCCAGGGACACCCTTGGTCCTTTTGTGCTTTTTCTCCAAGATTCCTTGGTGGCCCACGGGAGATCCTAGCTGCAAGCAGGCAGGTTGAACATCAGCCTTTTTGCTGAGTTTCATGCTCTTCAATCTCACTGGCACTTCCAGAGGGTCCAGGACCACCACTGGCACAAGCTGGTACTCCTTGACTAAGTCTCTCTGACAGCTGGAGCCTCTTTTGGCCAAATCTCTCGTGAGATGAGAGGGAACCTCACGAGTGCCGCTGTCACAGGGCACAGGGAGCTGTGGCTCATCCTCCAGTGGCGGCAGCGCTCCCTGGGGACTGCTTGGGGCTTTCACTGGGGACGGGGCAGCTTGTGCCGGGCAGTGTCCCCGCACCGCCGACCTCAGAACACGGCGGGACCCCCGCAGCCCGGGCTGGGGCTCACAGCTCCGAGCCAAGCCTTGTGCCCGGAACCACTCGGGCACCTCCTCGCCAGCACCCAGCAGCGACGGCCGCTGCCCGGAGCAGCCCTCGGGCGAGCCGTGGGGCAGCCGGTGCCGCGAGGGGGAATCGCCCAGCGCCGAGCCGCCCTCGATGGTGGTGCTGAGCAGGAGCGAGCTGAGTCTCACGGGCGAGCGGCGGCGGCGGCGGCGGGAACCGCGCGGCGGGGACGGGCACGGCGAGGGCAGCGGCGGCGGCGACCGCCGGGGCTCCTCGCTGCTCCCGCGGGGCTCTGCGCCCTGGCTCCACTTCTTCTTCCCCGCCGCCTCCCGCTTCTCCTTTGCCCGGCCCCGGGTCTCCTGCCCTCTCCCGCGGGTCTCCGGTTTCCGGTTCTCCTTCTCGGCCGGTTTCTGGTTCTCCTTCCCGGCCGGGCCCCGGTTCTCCTTCCTGCGGGTCCGCAGCCGCGCGGCCCAGCCGGGGCGCTTACCCAGGGGCTGCGGGGGGCGCTCGCCGGGCGGCGAGAAGTCGGGGTCGTCCGAGGGGATGGAGCAGGCGCTGGAAGCGGAGAGGGCGCTGGAGGCGGTGCTGGAGGCGGCGGAGGTCGAGCTGAAGAGGCGCCTGCGGTCCTGCGGCGGCGAGATCCATCGGTCGGGCGGTGGCAGCATGCGCAGGTAGCCGGCGCGCCGCGAGTAGGTGCGGAGCAGCCGCGGCCGCAGCGGCATGGCGGGGCCGGGCCCTCTGAGGGAGCCCGCCCGCCGCCCGTTCGAACGGGTATCGCGAGAGCGCGCGAGAGCGCCCGCACCGCGGGGGCGGGGACAACTGACAGGACACGCCCACGGGACACGCCCCCTGCCCGGTGTCGCTCCCGGTGTTGTCATTCCTGGTGTCCCGGTGTCCCGTTCCCGGTGTCCCACCGCGTCCCTGTGTCGTTCCCGGTGTCCCGCCGTGTCTCTATGTCGCTCCCGGTGTTGTCGCTCCCGGTGTCCCGCCATGTCTCTGTGTCGTTCCCGGTGTCCCGTTCCCGGTGTCCTGCCATGTCCCGGTGTCGCTCCCGGTGTGCTCGTTGTCGTTCCCGGTGTCCCGCCGTGTCTCTATGTCGCTGTTGTCGCTCCCGGTGTCCCGCCATGTCTCTGTGTCGTTCCCGGTGTCCCGTTCCCGGTGTCCTGCCGTGTCCCTAAGTCCGGTGTCCCGTTCCCGGTGTCCCGCCGTGTCCCAGTGTCGCTCCCGCTGGTGTCATTCCCGGTGTCCCGCCGTGTCCCTATGTCGCTCCCGGTGTTGTCGCTCCCGGTGTCCTGTTCCCGGTGTCCCGCTCCCGGCGTCCCGCCACGTCCCGGTGTCCCGTTCCCGGTGTCCCGTTCCCGGTGTCCCGTTCCCGGTGTCCCGCCGTGTCCCAGTGTCGCTCCCGGTGGTGTCATTCCCGGTGTCCCGCCGTGTCCCTATATCGCTCCCGGTGTTGTCGCTCCCGGTGTCCTTTTCCCGGTGTCCCGCCATATCCCGATGTCCCGTTCCCGGTGTCCCGCCATGTCCTGGTGTCCCGTTCCCGGTGTCCCACCGTGTCCCTTTATCGCTCCCGGTGTCCCGTTCCCGGTGTCTCGCCGTGTCCCTATGTCACTCCTGGTGTTGTCGTTCCCGGTGTCCCGTTCCCGGTGTCCTGCCGTGTCCCTTTGTCGCTCCCGGTGTCCCGTTCCCGGTGTCCCGCCGTGTCCCGGTGTCCCGTTCCCGGTGTCCCGCCATGTCCCGGTGTCCCGTTCCCGGTGTCCCGCCGTGTCCCGGTGTCGCTCCCGCTGGTGTCATTCCCGGTGTCCCGGCGGTGCTGGTGCGGGACTCAGCCGCCCCGGGGCGTTTCGGTGTGGCCGGTGCGGGGCTGGAGCGCAAACCCTGCCCGGGGGCTCCCCGGGAGCCGGGGGCGCTCGGCGGGGACCCCGCTGCTCTCCGGGCTCGGTGTGCTCCAGCACCGACAGAGCCAGAGGACGCGGCCTCAGCTGCGGCAGGGAAAGCATAGGCTGGATATTGGGGAAAAAAATTCACCGAAAGAATAATACAGCACTGGAATGCTCTTCGCAGGGAGGTGGTGGAGTCAGCGTCCCGGGTGTGTTTAAAAAAGGACTGGAGGTGGCACTTGGTGCTGTGGTCTGGTTGAGGTGTGGGGCACAGGGTGGACTCGGTGGGCTTGGAGGTCTCTTCCAGCCTCGTGATTCTGTGAGTCTGGTGCCGGCGCTGCTCCATCCACACTGAGACACATCGCTGCGACGGCAGAATAAATTAATTTATGCACCTGTGTTGTGTAGCTCTGCAGGGAATACAGCCCTGTGTGTTACACCTGTGTGAGCAGAAATTTAATTTATACACCTGTGTTGTGTAGCTCTGCAGGGAATACAGCCCTATGTGTGTGTGTGTTACACCTGTGTACACTGAAAATTAATTTATATACCTGTGTTGTGTAACTCTGCAGGGAATACAGCCCTGTGTGTTACACCTGTGTGAGCAGAAATTTAATTTATACACCTGTGTTGTGTAAGTCTGCAGGGAATACAGCCCTCTGTGTGTTACACCTGTGTGCACTGAAAATTAATTTATATACCTGTGTTGTGTAACTCTGCACAGAATACAGCCCTGTGTGTTACACCTGTGTACACTGAAAATTAATTTATACACCTGTGCTGTGTAATTCTGCACAGAATACAGCCCTGTATGTTACACCTGTGTGAGCTGAAAATTAATTTATACACCTGTGTTGTTGCTGTGACATCAGAATAAATTAATTTATACACCTGTGCTGTGTAATTCTGCACAGAATACAGCCCTGTGTGTGTGTTACACCTGTGTGCACTGAAAATTAATTTATATACCTGTGTTGTCATTGCGACAGCAGAATAAATTATGCACCTGTGTTGTGTAGCTCTGCAGGGAATACAGCCGTGTGTGTTACACCTGTGTACACTGAAAATTAATTTATACACCTGTGTTGTACAAACAAAAAAAACAAAACAAAACAAAAAAAACCAAAAAAAAAACAAAACAAAATTTTAAAAAAATTTAAAAAATTAAATTAAAATTTAAGAAATAAAAAAAATTATATATAATAAATAAAAATATAATAAACAAAAAATTTAATAAATAAAAATTAAGAAAAAAATCCAAAAACCAGGGGGAAATATCTCCAGCAGAGAGTCCCACCTGAGCCCTCAGGTTCTCCTGGGTCACACAGGCAGCCTGGACCTTCCCTGGGGCAGCAACAAGTGAGACATCCTGAGGGTTTGCTGAGCACAGAGAAGAAATCAAGTCCCAGAGTTAAATTCTGCACCTTTTGTTCTGCCTCTGAGTTTAGTGAAATCAGGGTTTGACTGTGGGACAGAAGCAGAGGGAGGATATTTGCCACTGCAGAGCACAGAATATTCAGGGTTCTGTGTGGAACTCTTGTACTGGTGCAGCTAAAGCAGAGGCCTCCTGTTCTTTCAGGGATTTCATCCTAGGGAATGCTCCCCTTTCCCTGCTGGACACAGGGAAATCTTTAATTCTTTAATCTGAGAGACTGACCCTGGTGATTTAGCAGCTGCAGGTTATCAGTAATTGCAATTTATTTTTATTAAAATTGGCTGACTCGCAATTTTCATTTATAACAGGAGGGTTTGGAGAAAGAGGATGCCTGGTCAGGCCTTGTGTTCTTCCACTGAAATGATCTCAGGCCCCCCTTTGTGGATTCCAAAGGAAGTCAAGGATGGACAAATGGTAATGTTCCTTTCTCTGTCTCCTATTTTTGTGGTGGTTTTATTTATTTCTGTCATGTTTGGTTGACCATAACCCCACAGATCTAATGTGTGTTTGTGGACAGCAGCAGAATAAACAAAGATTTCTCGTTCAGACCTTCAGAAGACAAAATAGTTCCTGTCTCCTCTGCCTAACCAATATTGCCTGGTGGAAAAATATCAAACAATCCTTCTCTCCTTTATTTTTCTAGTTTCTTCAGTGAATTAAGCTTCCTTCATCATTTGAATGCCTTTTCTCGTCCCTCATGGCTCTCAAGGAGGTCAGCTCTTGCAGTGGGTAATGCTATTTTCCTTTTTAGATGTTTTTTTTTTCCTCCTAAATGCATTACAGGGCTCTGTGACTTGTAATTTCCTGCGAGTGCCATCGACCATTTAATTCTTTGCAATCACTGCAGCAGATGCCAAACACATTTGCAGTAATTGGATGGCACTTAAGGGATTAGCCAAGACTGCCAAGACTCAACTCATCCAAACCTCAGCTGGCTTTTTTGTGAGGTTTCCATGGGAGCCTGGCCGTGTCTGCTGCTAAATTTATTTGCAGTCCACATTTTGAATAAAGTGCCCTGTGCAGGATCCTGCCTGCGTGGCCCTGGCTTTGTGGCGTGGTTGTGGCATCTCCCTGAGGGACAGAAAATTGGCAAATGCCCCCTCCAGGGTCAGGAGCCACCTGTCCCCACCAGGTGAAGGAGCTGGCAGAATTTTGGGCCAGGTGTTGTGGGAGAGCAGCTGCTGCAGATCTCCCAGAGGCTTTGGAGCTGCCAGCACGGTTCATGACCTTTCTCTCTGCCTCATGCAAAGGTGGCAGAGGGTTTGCAGAGCCACAATTTCCTGCTTTCATCTCTGTGGGCCCCCTCGCTTGTCCAACTTTGCATCTCTTCACGGTTTTGTGCCTCCCACAGGAGGACAGGGTGTGTTTTGTGATGCTGCCTCAGTCGGCGATGTCACCAGCTCCTTATGGCTTTGTCACCCAGCAGGAAGGTCCCCAAATCTTGGGTTTGCCTGGGTGTGCTCAGGAGCTGCCAGGTTTGTGGGCAGAGCTGTGGAATGCAGCGAGCTGGGTGTTTGCAGGGGAAAGGGAGCTCAGCTCAGCAGGAGAAGCCCATCAGTACTTCATTATAAAACACAGGGCACTGGCATTGATGCTTCAGGTTTTAGCTTTTGTATTTTTCAGATTCTCTACTGCTCTAGTGTGCAGTTCTGAGTTTCACATTATGGGATGGTGAGCTCTCTGCACAGAGCGGGGAGACAAAACAATTCCTGCTCCAGCTGGGGACCAAGGACAAATGATCCAAACCTCAGCCCAAGAGCACAAACAACATGGGCTGAAGAGAGAAAAACAAGAAGGATGGGACTTCATAATCTAAAGCTGTAATTGGATAATTAACTCCAATCTGCACATGGAGCAGAGCTGATCACAGGGAGAGACCCCGTGAGCGCTCGTGCATTTTGGGACCATTTTGGTTCATCTTGGGTTCATTTTGGGACCATTTTGGTTCATCTTGGGTGCAGCCCTGGCTGGGCTCTTGTGCTGCCCCAGGTGGATCCATGGAGGAGATCCTTTTAATAAATCCCTATTTTATTCTTTAGCTCTCTCCAACCTCCATTCTAGGTCAGCCTTCACAAGGCATCAAGGTGAAGGCCTCAGAGAGGAGCCATGCAGAGCCTTGCTGGGCTCCAGGGCCTTTGGGGCAGCTTTGTTTGGAGGGTAATTGAATTGTAGCTCTAAAGAGACATTTCCTGTCCTCGTTACAGCGGGCTCCAGGAGCTGAGTGATGCTGCAGAGCCACAAACAGATTTCTTTGGCTCCCCCAGCCCAGGCTGGCTAAGCTGGACCCAGTTGGTCTGTGCAGCACAGCTGGGACACATCAGCCTCCTGCTGAACTGGGAACAACTGGTTACAGCATCGGGTCAGGCTGGTTCAGAGCACTCCTGAGGAGAGCTCAGGTGCCAGGCTGACACTTTTCCCACTGGGGGTCAGGTCTGAGTAGCTCCTGTGTTTTCCTGGGGATGCAAGGAGTTTCCAGGGTGGGGGCACATTCCAGACTTCCCAGCTGTGTCTGTGAGGAAGGTGAAGGAAGGGGATGAAGGGTTCTCCTCAGGACTTGCAGCCAGGTAAGAGCTGGCAGAGGTATCAAGCCAGGACCAATTTCATGTCTCTGTGTTACTAAAGAAGTAAATGCTGTTTTTTGGGTGTATTCAAGAGCAGAATTTCACCTTTAAATCAGTGCTTAATGTGAATACACTTTGTATTAAACCTCTTCAGCTTTCAGGCTTGATTCAACATTCTTTTATTTCCCAGTGATGCTTTTATTGTCTGACCTTAGGAGGTGAATTCACTGCAACACAGCACAGCTATCCTTGTCTCTCAGCAGTGTTTTATGTGCACTTTTATTAATTTCTCTTACCTGATTCAGTGCCAGCTCCCTCACAGAACAGGGCATGATGGCTTGGTTTCATTAGATGTGCACTATTTTTCCTTCTCTGATCCTCTTCCTCAAGCACTTTCCCTTCCTGGGTTGGGGCAGAGCAGTGGGTAAATGTTCCAGCTAATAATAACAACATTCCTGCACTCTGCATGGGAGATTCAGGACCTGGGGAGGAACATGGAGCACATTCAAAGGCTGAAAATGGCTCTGCTGGAAGTGGAGAGCTGAATCAAAGGCAGAATCTGTTCTGCAACATCAGCACTCTCCCATCTCCCTTCTCTTCCTTCAGACAGTTCTGTGGAGTGGGACAGAAACTCTCCCCACAATTCCATTTCCACTGAGGCTAGCTGTGCTGGTTAGGAGGATAAAGAGTGGCTAATTGACCCAGCCAAGGATGACAAGAGGAGCTGAACAGAGCATTTTTCTCCATGGGCTCCACACATTTCATTTCTTTGTTCTTGCCTCCAAACCCATCACCTTCAGAGAGCAGCTCCTGCCTCTGTTACTGATTTCTGGGGGCATGAGCTGAGCTTTGAAGCAACTTCCTCTCTCAACTTTGACTCTTCACCTTGTTTTTTTGCAGATGTTGGTTTGCAAGCGTGACAAGAAATGTAGAAACTGAATGGCTAATGTGGAGAGCTGACCTCTGCCTTTTCTCTGATCATTTCCTTGCCAAATCCCCTCTTTCCTTCCTCCCTGTCTCTGCTATTTCAGGCTCTGCTCTGGCGCCTGTTTCTGACAGAAGATGGATCTGCACCACTCAAACATTTGCTGCAGGAGCATTTCAGTGCTGGAGAAACATCTCAGCATTTCTGAGCCAGCCTTTGGGAGCAGGGTGGGGTTCAGCTGGTGCCCGGAGGGAGCATTTGGCACTGAGAATGACCGGGATGAGTGCCCAAAAACCCAAAAAAAACCCATGGTGAATCACAACTGTCCTGGCCAGGGCTGCCTGCAAAGCACATGCTCTGTTTGGGTGTAATTTCAAGATATTATTGGGCTGATCTTGAAATCTTCCCAGTGTCAGATGTGACCTTGCAGCGTTTCAAATGCCCCTGGATCAGGGCAGAGGTTGAAAATTTGATTTTCACAGCCCCTTTAGAGGGGGCATTTGGAGGCTGAGATCAGCTCTGGGGCAGCTGGGCAGTGACAATG